CTGGATAAATATCATTAGCCATTTAAAGGGGCACATTCACCATCCTTTTCACCAATCAGAAATTGGTCTCAGAGTTGTGATTTTTTAGCTAGGTTAATCAGTAATAGTGTCTTCAAATCCATGTGTGTCCAGAATTATCAGCATTTGAAAGTTACAGTGACAACTATGGGGTTATGAGATTTCATTTTAGTACATCACATGGCCCAAAAAAACCTCAGAAAATCCCACTTGTTGCTCGTTAAGAGTATTTTTTGCTATTTTTCTTTAAAAAAAAAAAGGCAGGGGAACGTAGAGGGGCTTCTATTAAGATTGTTTATTTTTATCATCCCAGTTTCCCTTTTCCATTCTGTTGCAGATGAAGGTTGGAAGGGAACATAAAGCAAGGGTACTATATGTTCTGGTTGTGCTTGTTAAAGATTCCATGATCTAAGATGAGATGTTAAGGTTGGTGTCGATGCTGGCCAATTCTCTCATTGCACACTCATGCTGACAAGATTTGAATTTAATGGCCCTGATACATCACATAAGGTGTCATAAGTGTAATGTAGGAGTAAGGAAGCTGTCACATCACAGACCAGTCCCTTTAAACATATCATGATTATACAATATAAAGATACCTATATCATGTCATGTATGTTTGATAATGACCAGTCATCCTATATACAAGCTAGGGTGTGAGAGACAGACATTATGTCATGTCAAACTTTAATCTTCTTATATTTATCTTAATTATCATTATATTACATTCTTCAATCTTAAAGTGGACTGTGTGGAGACATAACCTATTGCTAAATCATTGCAGGAATCAAACAATTAGGGAATGGCTTTTACTGTATGCAATTGGGTGAGCAAAATGCCATGACCCTTGTTCTAACTTTTTGCTGCATAGCCAAGCAAGGAATAGATTTTGTATAAGAACTATATCCACTAAAATCAGGGGCCATAACAGGCTCAGGAACAGAAGGAAAATTTTAAATGTTGAAATCTAAAAAGAGTATAATTTTAGTTTCTAATGGTCATTGGTCATTTAAGAGGTGGTAGGAAGTGGTGAAAGGGTTTAGTCCATGAATCATAACTGATCACTGATTCACTTGCTCTCTCACCCACAGAACTAATCCAACAAAGGTAGAAAACTTTAAAAACAGCCCTGTCGTTAGGGTTGGGTCCGTGGAGGCTGGGCCCCAGTAAATGAGAATTAAGACCCAGCAAAACTTTTCAGCAGAGATTGATTTATTTCATTGTTTTTGTATAAAATCGAAAAGATATAGATTTTGATATGTTTTTGGCACCTCAAAATTGCAAGAAATGAGTTCTCTGGGCCTTTAATATTTCAAATTTTCTGAGTACAAAATCTGAGCCCCAGCACCAGTTCATTCCTGGCTACAGGGCTGGTTAAAAAGACCCATCAAACCAGAAATATAAAGTTTAAAGTGTTCTATTCTAATTTATTTACAAATAAACATGTGGCTCTTAAAACTATTTTCATGAATCAAATCTGACAATGGAAGCCACAGAATTTTAATTTTATACCCAGAATTCAATTACAATGTGTATCTCTTTAATGTATCTTAATAAATAGAATAAACAAAGGTGTAATACATATTTGATTATGTGTAATCTTATTTTAATAACATTCCAGAGAAGATACATGATAAGCTGTATATGATGATAAGAGAGAGAGGGTTAAACCAGCTGTCATCACTAACATGTAGTTAACCCTCTAGAGGTGACTGAGGTTATCATGATAGTAAGAGGGGGAGGATGTCTGTAGTTTGTCATAGTCTTTCAGGAATTCCATTCAGTTCTGTGCAATAGCTTGTGGTTAAAACATTGGTCCTTGAAGTTGGTTTGCCACAAGTAACATATATTTTTTAAGAGAATCCTTGTGAAACTAAGTTGCTATCCATGGAAAATCTGGTTGTTTCTTTCTGTCTTTTGTTTTGAAGAGCTCATTATTTTCATTGCATGCCTGCTTGTATTTTAGTCTTCTACATATGTGAGGTCAGAAAAATATGTTATTTGTCATGTGATCTGATGAATTACCTCCATCTCTCTAGAGAAGTTTCTACCAGATCCTTATAAATACCAGTGAATATATAAATCTTTGCATAATTATGGTTCGTGGCATCTTCAATTTTTCTCTTAATGCTAATTTATTGACATCTACTGAATAAATCATTGTATTTTAAATGTATCTTGTGTCTATAGGGTATTTATATCTGTCTTGAAGTTTTCATTTAGCTTGTGTTGTATGCCAGTTTTGGATAAACAGAGATACTTTAAAGGGATTGTAAAGAGGTTTTTTAAACTTTTTACGTGTATCGAGGACACTGATAGTATCAATTTGCACCATTCCAATTTTCAATCAGACATCTGTGGTTCCTGCAATTCCACTAAAACTAAGTTTTTGATGATGTATTACTTGTTGCCATAAAAATGTGGCAATCAAAAAAGAACACAACTTGACAGCAAGGTTGAAAAAGCTGAAATCTAGGCTACATCACACCTTATAAAATGTTTTGTTACTGGTCAATGAGAGAAGATAAAATACTACCTGTGGAGGGTATTAAAAGTCAACAACAGCTGTAGACAGTATTGACCTTCACATACCACACAGACTGCTGGCTTATTATTGTCTGTCTGGTTTCCTTATACTAACTGACCTTCGTACACTTATCAAACCACTGTACATTGCTATCAAAAAATTGATAGGACTGTACCATGATTACATAAGTGATAGGACTGTACCACAATTATGTAATTGATAGGACTGTACCACAATTAGGTAATTGATCAACTGTACCACAATTATGTAATTGATAGGACTGTTCCACAATTACATAATTGATAGGACTGTACCACAATTACGTTATTGATAAACTGTACCACAATTACGTTATTGATAAACTGTACCACAATTACATAAGTGATAAACTGTACCACAATTATGTAATTGATATGGATTTACCACAATTATGTAATGGATAGGACTGTACCACAACTACATAATTGATAGGACTGTACCACAATTACGTTATTGATAAACTGTACCACAATTACATAACTGATAAACTGTACCACAATTACATAATTGATAAACTGTACCACAATTATGTACTTGATAGGACTGTAACACAATTACATAATTGATAAACTGTACCATAATTGCGTTATTGATAAACTGTACCACAATTACATAATTGATAGGACTGTACCACAGTTACATAATTGATAGGACTGTACCACAATTACATAATTGATAGGACTGTACCAAAATTATGATATTTATAAACAATTACATAATTTTAATAGGACTGTACCAAAATTACAAAAAGGATACATGTGTACTTGTCTAGTACACAAGTTCCATTTTGATTCAACTGTACCACAATTGCAAGTTTGCATGCCTTTGATTGTACCACCATTGATAAAACTTGAGCACAGTTAAAAAATTTATACAAGTGTACAGTGAAAATTAACTGTTAAATATGAGTACCTTTTAAATAGCATGCAGTAATAATTATTATAGTAATCAGAACAATAATGAAGATATGGATAATAGTAATAATGAAGGATAATAATAATGAATAATATAATATTATGTAATATGAGGACAGACAGGCAATCTTATTAACATAATCAGGTCTAATTATTATGATAATTATTATAATGATATATTATATAAGTTAACATCATTATCAAAGTATATGTCAACTAATGTTCTATACTGAACTAAGTATATTTCAATAACCGTCAGGCTACAAATGACTTCTGTATGGCATAAGCATTGCGTAGAGTATTGCAGGCTGCTGAGATAGAAGCATTCACAAATTATCAAAAATTCTCTTTCGGCTGTCATCGGACATCTAGCCTAGATTCTGTCGAGTTCACAAGTTAGAGTAGAAGACCTTGACTCGTATGATCTGTGTAAGAAAAGAGCACAGAATTGGTCATAAAAATTGCCTCATTGACACAATCAGATGTTACAAAATTTGCATCTCAAAGTACAATACTCTCCACTTTTACTCTACTTCAGACATATTTTAACTTCAATTTGAAGAGTTCTTTCAGATGTTGACAACTTTAGCACAAAATGAAGAGTACATTAAGTTGCCACTAGCTATTTCACGTGAGAGCAGATGTGACACACAATATAGATAATATTATATGCTAACTACAGCAAAAATCAGCTTTGGTATTTCCTGTTTAGAAAACTATACATTTACACTTAATACTGGTAGTTGACAGCCAAGAGATTTTAATTGTCCCAATCAGTGGAAATTTAAGAAGAGTTTTCATCCCCTTTTGCCATTTATCAAGCCATTATACTGGTGTGATTTGCCCCATGTGACTTGGTTTGTCTAATCAATTGGCATCCATTTTGAAGAATCATGACACATTACTGTTTTGTTAACTTTAATGATTTTAAGTTATTTACTGGTATTTTAAGCATAGGTTATGCTTATAGGTATATGCTTATGTAATGATACACTACAGTAATTGGCTATTTTATTCCACTTGAACCAGTGTGTTCTGGATCTACAAAATGCCTAGCTGTAAATCATCCATGGTTCACAACTTTTTAAAGCCATATTTGAAGGAAAAACTTTTGCTCTCACTGCATGTAGTATTGCAGTATTAATTGCAGGGCAAATCAAGCCTGCCTCACACTATTAGCTTCATTCTAAAGCCTGTCTGAAAGGCAGGTGATCAGTAGGGGGCCATATTAAGGTTGATGTCCTGAACAATACTTGTATAAACTATTCATCAGTTTGATAAGATACCTGAATTGAGCCTCGAAACAATAGGAACAGATGGTCATTGTATTCAGGTCTACTTAAGATTGTTATTTATCTGTTGGAGATAAGAACACCTACTCCCACTCTGCTTGTGGTAAATTGTGATCATGCCCATCCTGGTCTCTTTTACCTGCTGGATGCTATGGAATGTAATACTGATTGAAAAGAGACAAGATCTGTTATTTAATTATGTCAGCTAATATGGGAGGTACTAGGTATGATAAATGAGGAACTTTGCACCATTTGATAAATACATGTACAACATATTTCAAATAAGATACAAGTAAAAGATATCAAAAGATCTTTATAAGCTATAAATAAAAGCTACCCAAAGATCTGCTGTAAGTATTAGGTTCCGTCTTAAATTAGCAATGAATAAAAATAGAAGCTACCCAAAGATCATTATTGCTATAATGCTACCCTAAGACCTTCATCATTACTATAAATAAAAGCTACCCGAAGATCTTTAAACAAAAGCTTGCCAAAGATCTTTCATGTGTAACTAAAACAACCTAAAGATTTTATATGCTGTAACTGAAAGCTACCCAAAGATCTTTAATACTATGAATTAAAGCTACCCGAAGATCTTTAATACTATGAATAAAAGCTACCCAAAGATCTTTAATACTATGAATTAAAGCTACCCAAAGATATTTAATACTATGAATTAAAGCTACCCAAAGATCTTTAATACTATGAATTAAAGCTACCCAAAGATATTTAATACTATGAATTAAAGCTACCCAAAGATCTTTAATACTATGAATTAAAGCTACCCAAAGATATTTAATACTATGAATTAAAGCTACCCAAAGATCTTTAATACTATGAATTAAAGCTACCCAAAGATCTTTAATACTATGAATTAAAGCTACCCAAAGATCTTTATGTGCTATAAATAAAGCTACCCAAAGATCTTTATCTCCTGGAACCTAAAAACTATCGAAAGATCTTTTTCACTATGAATACAGCTAACCAAAGATCTTTTATCCCTTTTAAATAAAAGCTACCCAAAGATTTTTATCAACTTTTAGACAACATCGGAATCACATTACCCATAAACTTTTCCTACAAATTGCACCGTAATAACACCTAATATGAACACTTGATATTTACATTGTAAAGGTCAATCACAAATAAATTATCCAATAAAACACTAATCAAATTGTCTGGCCCGCCCTGCTGTTTTAATACATACTAAAAAACTGTGAAATATTTTCTGTTACTGTGTAAAAACTAGTTATAAATTGCCATGATTTTTTCTCTATGATTATCAAATTGGTTTAAAATTGATGTTTTACTTAACCTCGCTGATCTCGCTGTTAAAACCGAATTTATCTTTCATTTTGAATTTTTTGACAGATATTCTAGAATAATCTAAGCTTTTGTTATGAGAATTTCTCTGTAATGGAATTGGTGATAGTATTTATATGTTATGTCAATGACAACTCAACACCTAATGTTAATCTGCATTGTTGCTTTTTAATGCCATCATCAGTTACGCCAACACAAGTGAAAAGGTTTATTAATAACTATGGCAACGTGTTTGAATATTTCGCTTATTTTGTCATTTTCTGCATTCCTGTAAAAATAGCGTTTTGAATCTCATTTGAAGAGTTGATTTAATTATAGTTCGTTCAGTGCATTTTATTGAATAGTAAATAGTGGTTTTACAATTTTAAGTTCTCGATAGTCACTAATAAAAGTTCTAACTATTCAACCAATTAACTTGAGAAATTATAATAATTCATAGTAAACACTAAACAATATACACATATACTATATAAAAATTACTTAGAAAATTAAAAAGAATCTAAAATGTCTTTAAAAAAGAACAAAGAAAAAGAAAATGTTTAGGTCACTTCTTTGTTTGAAAGAATATAACTTTATTATAAATAGCTCACACTCTACCCCTATTAATAACTCTTTAATTGACAAGAAAATCACCAAGTTAGTAGTACTGCTTGAATAATTACCTAATTACCAACCAATCACTCAGACTTTAAATGTAGGGCAAGGGAGACTACTGCTGTGTGACTTAAACATCAAGGGAGACCACTGCTGGGACATGTAATATTTGAGGAAATGTCTGCTGCTAAGTGTCAAAAAAATTGTGCCTCATTCTTTTTCAAACTACTGGTGGTCTCAAATGAAAATGATTGAAGCTAATGGAATAAAAATGACCATTTCAGAAATAGTATCATTTCAGATCACTTCTGTTTTGTTTTAGAGACAATAGGCTAGCATAGAGAGGAAAAATATGGTGCACAATTAAGTCATTTCTCAAAGGTCTCAAATGTTAACGTCTGCTATTATTGAGGGACATCATGCAGAGACATTATCTAATTTGTCACTTGCACAAAATGAGCAATGATGCTTAAATACATTAATGTGGCCATTTTTTGTGACACTCTGATAAAGGACATTGACACTAAGGCGACAGTAACTTTAATATGGTTTGGCCTTTTGTGCATGTTGTTTGCTTGAATTCAAGGGTGGTATTGCAATTCTATTATTCACAGTTCATTACAGTCAAATTCATTTTTACGACTGAATTAAGTTGGCACACATAAAGTTTTTTTTGTTTAGTTAATGTATTAGAAAATTAGTATTTAGATGCAGTTTTTGTGAAAGATATTACTTTTATCATAGTTGAAACATGTAGCTTAAGCATGCTAATCCGAAAATCTGTTCTGAGAAAGTGTCATAGCTTGAGAGATTTGTACATTTTTTAACTTCTGTCTGTCAGTGATTCAGGTCAGAGGGACTCATGTTGATAAGTGTTTTTGGACAATCAACCATTTACTATAGACTGTGAGTTAGAAGCTTGCTCGCTGACCTGAAGGTCGAGGGTTCAATCCCGGCATAGATTTCCCCCTTTCAGCGATGCAGGATATGGAAAAGGCGTCTAGTCGCTCGGATGATGCAATAAACTGAGACCCTGTGTGGTATAGGCTGTGCAAGTTAAAGATCCCTCGACAGTTGGAAATCGAAAAAGGGCAAGTTAATACCACTATCCTGGCAAAATTTCCCTCATTGCATGGTACAGAAAAGTAGGACGTAAAGCTCATTTCATTTCATTTCATTTCTTAACTATCTTTTGATAAATATAAATCCAAATACTGCCTTGCAAAATTTCCTTCATTGCACACTGCACCTCCTTGCATGAAGCCAATCGAAAACAGAAAGTAGGTTGTAAAGCTCATTCTATTTCAATCAGGGTTAAAACCTGGAGAAGTGTTAAGTATTTTAAAGTAGCTCACCTATCATGAGATATGTTTATATCATTATAGAAGGTGATAATGGGTGTGATAAAAACTGCTAATCTTTACCAGGTATCTTTAAAACCTGTGTTGATTGATGTGTTATAGTCTGTGAATTTGCAGAAGTCAGTTACAGTGTGTTCAATGTATAGAAAATAAAGAATTCTTTTGCATTTGAGAAATTTTATTTATTTTAAGTGATTGTAAAGAGGTTTTCTAAATTTTTTAAAGTGTATCGGGAATACTGATAGCTATTCCAAATTTCAATCAGACGTCTGTGGTTCCTGCAATTCCACAATAACTGATTGATGATGTCACTAATCGCAAAATATGCTTTATCACATAAGGCATTTCGGGATTATTGACGTCATCAAACACTTAGTTTGAGTGGAATTGCAGGAACGACAGACAGATTGAAAATTTTAATGGTGCAAATTGATGCTGTTCTGATTACATGTAAAAATTGATGCTGTTGGATGGCCAGATTATTGGCTTTATTAAAGGCAAACAACCAGTGTGAAGTAACAGTGGTCAAGTGATATTATGATTTATAGTAGACATAACACTTATAGTGTATTCTCAGACAATAGGTAAATATATATATAGAATAATATAACAGTCAACTTGTCAATATATATTATAATAATACAATACAACCATAATATTTTATCTTTAAGCTTTTCAGCTTTGAATTCCAATTATTCAATGTGTCTGATATATTCATACAACCATAATATTTTATCTTTAAGCTTTTCAGCTTTGAATTCTAATTATTCAATAATATTTCAACTATAAGCTTTTAAACTTTAAATGAGTTTGCTATATATTTTATTTTTAAGCTTCTAATACAATTATTTAATGCTAACAGTATTTAACAGCTATTGGAATGAAAACACATGAATTTCAATGTTTTGCACGAGAAAAAGCTCAGAAAACTCTTAGCTAATGCACAATGCACATGGTACTTATGAAGCCATGTTAGGTACAGACCAGATTGTAAACCTCTCATTTGATCATTATTAGCTTCATCACAGGCATATATATTATATATGCATTGGTACTTTAATTGCACATTTAAAGGACATCTCCTGCTTACCTTCCATATAAAGTACAACAATTTGTGCTAACATGATTTTAATATCTGACAACTCTAAACAACTGCTCTACCTTTTAGTTCTACTAGAATCTCAATGAATGTAGTACCAGTTTTATCATCCCAAATCAATACGCCAATAAAAAAGTAGCCGTTTGTCTGTAATTGAGTTAAGAATCAATGTAGAAAATATAACCTAGTGCCGGTAGGTATTTACATTTGATGAAAATATCGGCCATTATTCGCGATACTAACTGATTATTAGTTAGAAGTAATGTAAGTGGAAATTAGGACATGATTACTAGCTTTTCAGTCAAGAGTTTTCTTAAATTACTGTTTGCAGATTTATTTTGGGGCATTACTTCAGATGATTGTCAACTAAAATAGATACATAGACTTTAGAACTGAGTTTGTCTTAGAATTATAGCTGTATGAAGTCAAGGGAGCCACGGTGGCTCTGTGAGTTACATGCTTGCTCAGTATCCTGAAGATCCAGGCTTCAATCACTGCATAGGTCAAAATATTACCTTCGGATTTTTTAACACAGTTTCCCCTAGTCAGTGATGCGGCAGAGGGGCTGACATGGAAAAAGCGTCTTGTCATTTGGATTGGACTATAAACCTGATTGGTAGAGGCTGGGCATTTTAAAGAGCAGGCTAATGCCGCTGTCCTTGCAAAATTTCTCTCATTGCTCACTGCATGGCATCGGCCGTCGTCATTAGCAGAAAAGTAGGATGTAAAACTCCATTCATTTCATTTTTCATGAAGTCAAATTGACTTTCAGGATTGACCAGAAACTTAATGTGGATCTCTGAATTAGCATTGACGTTTTTCTGGCTGAATCTTCACTCATTTCTCATCACTTTTAGGCATTAGTTTGATTTAAACATGTGAAGGACAGAATAGACCTATGGACATTGAGTGGGTCAAAGTTTTGATTTCATTATATATTATATGGATACTATATAGTTAGGTTTTTAACTTATACAATTAATTGTATCTACACAACTTGTCAGTTTTCATTAAAAAAAAAATTCTTGAAAAATGACATTTTTGTACTTGTACCCACTCTATACCAGTGTTTCTGGAATGTTCCATTTTCTTCGACAGCCATACTGTAGGAGTTCACACAAGAAAATGTAGGATTTTTATCTTGTTAGAGTTTGATTGTGAAATCAGTCCATTATTTGATTAAGAATTGTCTAGAAGACAAGAAGAACTAGGTAGACAGTTCCGTGGGTGAACACGGGTATCCGTGGGTGTCACAAACTGTTATTACATCTTGTCCTTGAGACCACTCCATTTTATAAGTCCAATTGTCATAAACAGACATTTTGATTTACAGAAAAACAGTTATAATGTAATTCTCTTTGATGTTATAGATCAAATAAAAATATAAAACAATAATAATATTGTATATCATTAAACTTACATATTCTTGACTAATTCATTTCAAATGATCTCATTTTGCATGCACCTGGAACCCAGTGCTTCAAGTGCTCAAAGTTTGGATGTAAAACTCAATTTCATTCCTTTGAGAGAGACAGACCTATCACAAAATGACTTCTTGATCAACTACAGACTGAGAAATTGACTGGAGAGTTTGTACAATTAATAAAAGATTCCTTGCTGATTCCCTATAGTTCAATACTTCTACTTGTCTTTAGATTCTGTATGGATTAGACCACCATATTAAGACCATAATTGGTAAGGAAGGAAGCAGAATCAAGATATTGGAATGGAAATGTCTGCAATTCATGTCTGTGATAGATTTATTGTAGTTCCATTCTCTTTGATATATGATAGACTTAAAGAGATAATGCTTTGATATTTCCATCAAAATATTGCTTTGTCTACAAAGTCATCAGTTTTGTTGAATGGTTGAGAATCTTTTGAAATGGGAAGTCAGTAGCGTTTGAATGCTTATGAAAAGAAACCATAATAAAAATTGATGTTGGTGAGATAAAATGGAGATGTCAACCTTTGGTTATTGAAAAATTAACCCCTACTTAGTGCAGAAACATGTCTGCATCATTAATTCAGTTTATATTTTTTGTTATATTTTGTGGGCTCTCTGAAAGGATAATGAGTCACTTCTTCTTATACCTTGACTGCAATAGCTACCTTTCATGTATCACAGTAGTCTGTAAATGCAGCGATTTGATTGGATTGTATGTTAGCAAATACAGCCAATGTAATATGTAATACATGGAGGTGTCTTTTGCAAATTTAATTCATGAACCTCTGGAACATTAAACGTTAAAGATGGGTTCCCTTATTTTCATTTATGAAAATGAACATGCTAATACTTAAATGAATAGAAAGTAGAGGTGTTCTAATGACTTGGAAAAATACCAGTTTGTCTCACATACTTATAATTAATTCATAAATAGCTAAATTAGTAGAGAATTAGCAGCAGAATTCAAATGAGTGACAGATCAAGAGAAGTCAAAAAGTCTTTTTTTGTTTATCCAGACTGTACATACATGAACTTATTTATGATTGGTTAAAACTCTTAATTATATGTAATAAGAACATAATGATATGATTAAGAATACATGATAATTCATTAGAATTTATCAAATAGTTAATTTGACACTAAAAAATAAGGAAACCCATCTTTAATGTAAAAGTAAGGTGTCTGATAATAATTGAAATCCTGAGAACCAGATCACTATGACCTGCACCAGTTACAACTTCAATCCCAATTATACTTATTATATAATTTACCAAATATTTACTTCTAATAATGTCAATAATTTTATAGCTCTCTGTTATCTGTCAAAATATTTTGGCAGAATCCTGCAGTTATTTGTCGTTATAAGAACTGTTTGACCTAAAATACACTAGTACACATGCAAAATTTTTCATCCAGTTGCAGAACATTAGTATTACATAACTTTCAAGTTATCAACAGGTGGTATGCACAATATATCAAATTTATTTGAAACAACATAATCAATTTTGTTGTTATATCTGTTATCAAAACAAAATAATACCAGGTAGTTTCTATTTTCAAATATAAGAGCTATGGTGGCTCCATAGTCCAAAGCATCTGCCTATATTTCAGACTCTGATAGATATTTTGACAGTTATGGACTGCAGTAGAGTCAGAAAACTAGATCTTGTTTTATGGAGATTTTCCACACCTCCGAAAATGCTTTTTATCTAACAAAATATTTAATTACCTTTACTATGACTGTAAATTAGTGTCTGCTATCAATGTTACTTTCGTTTTGTTAATATCACATGACCTATCGACCCTTGAACTTTTGGCGTTTTAAATAGCTGACAAGAGATCAGTTTGGTTAAAAAAACTGAACAGCAGACGTGATATAAATGGTGTAGAGAGAAAATGATAGTATGGTATGACTGAACTATAAAAATATTCATCTTTCCGAAAATATTTAGGTCTGGCTAATCCTTTTTAAATAAATATGGTTTAGAAGTGTGGAACAATCAACATTAAACTTTCAACAACTTTCAAAATAGCTATCAGAGGCTGGAAGAGAAGAAACAGATCAGTGATAGCCAGCAGACAAGGGTCCTGGATTGGGTACAGTTTTTACCTGAAGTAGACTAAGCACCCATCTGCTTGTGAAGATTATTTGACTATTGAATAATCTACAAGAACATTGAAATTGATGCTTATGATGTCCCAAAAGTTTCCTCATTTCACACTGCATGACATGGCATTCATTTTATTTGAAGCATCATTATGAAATGAAGGTACTAACACCTCTAAATTATGTAAGTCATACAGTTTCCGTATTACATGATAAGTTGATTATAACACTGAATACAAAAACAACCTTCACAATTATTCTTACAACTCGATATGCATAATACTAAGATCAAGATAAAAATATAAAAATCTTTTAAACCAACATAAATTAACCTCAATATCATTTCTTTTTAACTCTTATGTATAACAAACAAACATCACATATCATTCACATATTTGGTCATGCATATTTCACCTATCTAGAGACCTTTGCAATATACATGTATACAATTCAGGAAGTCTATTTTGTTTTGAGGTAGACTATATGGTATTTGAAACTATACTTATGAATTTTTATTTGATATTTTGTAGATACTTGAGTGAGGTACCAGAAGCCAATGTATTTAACCAGGCTAAATCTAATAAGGAAGTAAGAGTTACGGTTACTGATCAACGATCATTAAGTAATGTTAAAACAAGACTAAATGACATGACTTCGGTAAGTAATATTTAGTATTTAGTGATTTATTAGTTAAACTTACCAGGTGCCATGACTAAAGAATAGAATCTTTATATAAGACGATATATCCATTAAACTAAATAAATTATTAAATACGCTAAGAAGCGTGTTTCAATAATTACTTAGTTTGATGAATTATTACTTAGTTTTATGAATTATTACTTAGTTTTATGAATTATTACTTCTTTTAATGAATTATTACTTACGTTTTGTGGATTTATTGGATTATAGAGGGATTCTGTTGTATAGTTATGACACCAGGTAAGTCCACTGATGAATATATATACTCATATTGACCATTTAAGTTTAAAAAATGTTTGTCATCCTAAGAGGTAGAATACCATAAAATACATTAAAATTGTACAATTATGGAGCCATTGTTTCAAAGAATTTGTTATAGACAGATGTAAAAATGAAATTAAACAATTCTGAACACTTAAACACAAACAATTAACCTAAATAAAAAACCAAGTTGGAAGAGATATATTTCTATAATAGTTGAACTTAAAAATCAATCAAACCATCAGAGTTATTCATTTCTCTCTCTTCAATTTTTTTGTTTTTATATAGTGATTGATTTCCCCTTATTGTTCATTAGTGTTTGAAGCTTTCACGCCACATTTACTCTACACAATACCTTGCACGAGATCCTCCTAGGATATCTAATTAATGGCTTGATGATAATTGAAACAAAAAATCAATTAGGTTCTTTGAGGTCTTTCACATCCTTTCTTGTAATTTAACAAGGGATCAATTCTGGCGTAAGTCTCGATGAATCCTTGGGAGTTTCTGATCCGATTTTCCCTTTGTTAGTCATGCAGGTTGGAGGAGGAAAGCATCTAGTCATTCCGATGAAACATTAAATTAAGGCCCTGTGCATTGTTAATGTCCGTTATTCTTTAAAAATTTGGCTATGCAAAATTTCTGTCATTGCTCACTGTAGGGTGTTAGTCATCTTCATTAGTCCAATCAGGTGCAGAAAAGTAGAATGTCATTTGTAAAAGATAAATTTTCAAATTTCTTGTGATTTAAGATCTCTTATTTGATGAGAAGGGTGTCGTGCCAGGCAGGGTATGCTTACTCTTCTATTACTCACTTATTATTGATATACTTACTCATATGAAAAGTTTATTAGCTACTACCTGTGTTTCGCCAATATATTGTTTGGATTTCGGGTTTTCTTTTGCCTTCAGATCGTTATTACTTGGTTTATATATTGTGAAAATTGTTGTTCTGTTATGTGAACCAATGATAACTATGTGTCTAGTGCAGTCATTATTGATGATATTGGTCATAGTGACCCAGGAATTGGAGCTTGATATTCAACCATGCATTTCAAATTTTTCAATATTCAAGTTCTAATTTTTGTCTGGTTTTTAATTCTCTGTCTTTGAAGTTACTTGAATCTAGTTGTTTAAAATTGGACACAATTATATCCCAGCAGAATTCATAAAAACAATTTTGTATCCAAAAACTGTCTTCAAAATAACCTCTTTCATGGGTTAGATCAGATATAGTAAGAAAAAAGTAGGTGACATTAGGAAAATTTGATGGATGGTGTTCGTTTAGAAATTCAATTTTCATTCTGAAAAGTGACCATAGGTAACTTATAGCTCTACCAGCTGGTTAACTGGTAGCTTTTCCAGCTTGTTAACTATGGGTAACTAGCTGGTTAACCATGGGTAACTTGTAGCTCTACCAGCTGGTTAACCATATTGTGTAACTTATAGCTCTACCAGCTAGTTAGTCATGTGTTAATCATGGGGAATTAATAGCTCTACCAGCTGGTCACCGAGGGTAACTTGTGGCTCTACCAGCTGGTTAACCATGGGTAACTTGTAGCTCTAGCGGCTGGTCACCAATGGGTAACTTGAAGCTCTACCAGCTGGGTTAACCATTTGCTAACCATGGGTAACTTGTAGCTCTACCAGCTCTACTTAACAGCTTCTGTGATTTTATTTTAGGATATGACCAGTTTAATTCGAGATGATATGATGCAAGGTGATGAACCTACTGAAGACTACAACCAGATGTTTTATAGTAGTGGTGATAGGAAAAATACATTTGTTATCACTGATGATGAAGACTTTGGACCAGGTAGTGGTAGTGGTAGTGGTGATGGTGATCATGTTATTACATCTCCAGGTAATGACCCTTTATTATTGTACACCATCAGGTTTTAGACATACATAGCATAGCTGAAGTGTACGGCTAACAAGTTATTTGTTTTTGAATAGAAATCAAATGGCTCATTAAGATTAATAAGGTCAAGATGGTGCTCATGGATGATTCCCCCCCCCCCCCCCCCCCAAAAAAAATCTTTCAGGGGTACACAATAGTACACAAGGCATTTTCATAATTGAATTCACACAATTTTGTAGCCAAAGAAAAATGACATTTCATCGGGAATTAACCTTTTCCCTAATTAGAACATGTACAAATACCAAATGAAACTGAACAAAGTTTGGTTTAGGATTGATGTCATATCAAATTATGTAATATCAGTAAGAATGCTAATAACACTAATAGTTTGTTAAGCCCACCTAAGAATCGACGAGGTGATTTTATGGAGGTATTTACGTGACTTGGCATGTCGGCTGTAGTTATCGCCTTCAATAATGATATTGATACATATTGTAACATATATTGTGTACATAGCCATTACCATATATACTTGTATAATCCCCCTGATATCTACAACGTATTCATGAGCAGACTTTGTGTATTGTTACGTCTGTGATTTGGTCCATTCTATTCTATGATTTGATATTGTGGATTATAAGTCAAGTTTGTTTTATTCTCTGTAAGCAAACGCCATGTCCATCATTAAAGTTTAAAAAATAAAGGGGGAACTCGGCGCTGTGTAGGTTAGGTGCTCACTTTAAGGGATTGTCAGGATTTGAATATTTTTATATGCGGAGATACAGAAAAATCTAATACAGATGAATTAAGGCATTAATAATTCTCCTTTAGATCTAACATAGAAGATAATTAGTTTCTACTGTTTGGTTGCATATCTGCAATTTTTGTGTGGTTGAAAATTTAATTACAAAAATGGACACTTGATTGTATGAAAGAAACCATTGCAATGTGAAATTCTAAACAGAGATAATAGGAGAATTTTTTCAATCCTAATGATTCCATTTTGATACCAATTCAATCTCTTAAAAGAAGAGTTTCTACGCATATCAATTCAATGTTCGTCACACATTTTTTTTCTGTATTTTCAGATGAAAGACCAACAGAAACTGGAAAAGAAAATGGTATCAGCAATGAAACAGGGGACAGAAATACCAATTCTGCTCCTCTGCATTCACTCTCGTCCATTTTGTTGTTGTCATTGACGACCATATATTATTATTTCTGGCTCCATTAGTATATAGCTTTATTGTTTTTATAGTTAGTCCTTTTACTTTCAGTAAGCCTGATTTACATTGGTGTAAAGGGATCATCCTTCAAATACTTTGACAACAAAAAGTGACTGGAGACCCACTTTACTTGGAATTTTCGTAAAATTCTACTTGGATGTCTCTTTTATTAAATAGCTAGCATAACCTAAATTTTGAAATGAGTCAATTTCCAGTGTATATCAGGCTTCCATTATTTTTAGTTATTTATAGTTATCTGCCTCAACAATTTACATCCAGTTTTTTACCGGTTATTACTGCCTTGAACTAGAATATTCTAGTTTCACATCTGCTTCTTCTACTTTCAAGCTTGATACAGACAAGCTTGACCAGCAGACATTTTTGAAAGGAATTTTACCTGAAGATTTTGGCCATTTCCCTCAACTTAAATTAGACCTACAGTTTCAAAAACGTCTTTATGGCAAGGGATAAAATGATAGGGCATTTTTGTCATCATCATAAAATTTGGCTTTAAAATTGCATTTGATACGACTTAAAAAAACTTGAACCAAAAAAAGGAGGAGTAAAACCAAGAGTACATTCTGACAAAACTTTTGAAACATTAAAACTCAATTTGTTTTGGTGCATATTTTGGCCGGCTGCCACTGCCTTAAACTGTAGATAATTAAAGTGTTGATTTAAATTTGAAAATTCAATTTAAAATGTTTCAGTGTGTGTAATGAAAGCCTGCCAGTGAAATAAGATCAAATAAATAAGTCTTATCAGTGAAAATCCAATTTCCTCAAAGTTGAAATTTCAAAGTGCATTCAACTTACTGAACTGAAATTTTGAGAGACTTTGGAATTCTGTAATTGATGCATTCAACACTGTTTTTTAAAAAGGATTTTTGGCAACATCTTAGTAACACAGTACCACAGCACTTATTGAAGTTATGCTCAAGCTTGGACATAGACTTGAATTAATGCTGATTAAATAACAATATCAGGGATCATCAAACTGTCTCTAAAGGATTCTCAAATTTCACTTGAAAGTATCAAATGCAGATGTGTTGCTGGATACAGCTATCTCACTATTGTCAATTGCACAGAAAATGGTTTCCTTTATCAGAAATTCTCAGAAATAAAAATTTTTGAGAAATTGTGAGCAGTGAAAATGGCGTCTAGATCAAAGCAGTAAGTCAGAAAGGGTTAATTTGGTCAATATGTCTATACTCAACTTACATGATATTACAAAACCTGTTAGTGACCAAGTATTGGATTGGGGGAATGGGCTACATTTTCCTGATTAGTGTAGCCCTAGAATTATTTTAACAGTAGGTAAAGTCTTTGTTTTGTATTGCTTCATGTACAATGTAAATCGAATAAAATCCATGCATTTATTTTGTTGCAGTCAAACTTGGCACATCTTTTTGGGATAGTTGGAAACCTTTGATCATTTTTTTGATCATTTAACTTTCCAGTGAAATGAGGAAGTCACTTTTGACTTCTGCACCAAATGGTTGATGTTCATCCTTTTTTAACTCTATAAAATTTCTCTCCCAGCCATAAGCATCTTTGAAGTCTGCTTATCATTGGTATTTTATTTATGTTCAAAAGAATTTACCTCAAGAAACCTATACGAACTAATTTTTACTAATTTTAACTCATTTACAGCCAATGAAATAATATTTTGGGCTCTAATTTGTACACCCTTGAGTCGAGAAAGATGATTTTTAGTGACAATTTTTACAATTTGATTATATTTGATAGAGATATCCAATTTTCAAATGTGTAGTTCATTTTTTTGTGACAATTTCATTTACAATGACAAACTATTTTACAAATCGTGGACATCGCTTTTAGTAGAAATTTGACCTAGTGTCATGAAAATGTCAAGAATAATGCAATTTCAAATTTGGAATGCCTCGTGAAATGTCAGGCAGGAAGAATGGTTTTTGAAATATCAGGAAATGTGCTTACTTTTGAAATGTCAAGAACATGCTTTGGAAATGTCAGAAAGAATGTTTTTTGAAATGTGGGAATAAATTTTGGTGAAATTTTTGTAAAAAAAAAAATGTATGAAATATTAGGACAACATAATTTGAAATTCTGTCATAAACTTATAATTGCGTCAAAATGGACAGAAAAAAATTTTGATACCATTTTGATTGGATTTATAGCATGGTTTGTCTGATAATTTCTTATTGAGTATAGGCTAGATCTTTTATAATGGTTTTCATTTTAGAAATGCAACAATATTTGGATTTTTTGTTGAGTCCGTTTACTTAAAACAAATTTGAAACCAATTTTATTTGATGATTTTGTCGTTTGCAGAACTAGGACATGCTAAGCTTGTAATATAGTTTTTAGACCTATTAGAAAAGTTAAACGTTTCTTAGATAAGCAAAAGAAACCTATCAAAGAGAGAGGAGCTAACAGTTTATTTTTGAAGGGTTATAAAATGATGATATTGTTGTAGATCTATCTATGTTTGTATAATATTAAATAAGCTATAGTATTGATGGTGCATAGAACTTAACATCACTTTACTTTCATTGAAAAATTTCAATTTCTTATGCCAAGATGAGCTAAATTTGGTTGAGACTGTTTTTACAGAGACATCAAATTGTTACAGGCCTACTGTTTATTGTTTAGGTGAATTTGTGTGCAGGATCTTGCTTTGGAGCATTTGTATATGGCGGTAACAGATTCTACACTTTTGTAGCAGGTCATAGCTTGTTTGAGCTCTTCAAAAGAAAACAATTTTGGTTCATCAGAAAAAATAATGTGACCAGCCTCAAAACACAGAATTCTTAAAAAATAAAAAGTTCCTGAAAGAAATTCTGATTTTAATGAAAGTAAGGCTTCTAAAAGTTGTGATATAACAGAAGTGAAATACATCCATTTTGTATATAGACTCATTGTGATCATTTCTTTTACATTTTTCATTCATTTTAATGCTTTTATTGTTTTAAAAATATTAGGTGATCCAATCAACTCTCTTAATAGTATTCTTAGTTTGGTACAATTATTGAGAAAAACCAAACAAAATTTCAAATTTGGCTGAAGTGACTTGCAATTCATACTATAGGGTGTAAGAGATATTAAGAAGGTAAATGCTCGTTCAACAATATACATCCACATAGTAAAAAAAAATTCAAAAAAAATATGATGCCACATGCAAGTCTGCTGAAATACTGCCATGATGTACCTCAATAAATCCTGCATTTTTCTATTCTGACAGATTTGGATCACCTAATTTTTTCTCTAAGAAATGCAATTATTTTAATTAGCTTTTTTAAACATTAATTTTAGCCAACTTACTAATATTGGATTTAAATCTAGAATAATCAATGATTTTATTACTCTAAGTATGTTTTAATCAAATAGTTGCCTCCCCTTTAAATAGATAGATATCGTAATATAGAAACATGGTCGAGATGGGTCTAAGGCAAACTTTATTTGGACTTTTGGTTTCATTTTAGTTAATTGGACGCTTTGGATGTAACTTTCAATGGACAAGGGGAGGTAACGGCTAATTAATCCACCTGTTTTTTTTAATATGACATGTTATTCATGATAAACCTTGTTTAAAGATTTATTTAAAGGGGCAGTGCCAAGCATTTCAAAGTCTATATGCGCCACACATAACATTCAATGTGTTGACAGTGTCCCTTTAACATCATGGAATAATACCGAAGTAATAGTGCTAAAGAGACTCAGATCAGCTTAAAAAGTTGAGATGCATGTCTTTTAGTATAGTAGATGAAAGTAATCCAACTTTGTCAATGGTTTCAACAGTAGAATGCCACAATTCTTACATAGTGGCATATTGAGCATAAGGAACTGTTGGTTCTTTAGCCAAGATGATCCTTTGCCAATAAGCATACAATGTACCGAATGGGAGAGGTAATTGGTATATGATCAAATGCCAATTCCATGTTTGTGTATCAGAAATGCTGAAATGGAACCCTCACTCCTTTGCAATCAATGCAACATTGAAACTGTTGACAAAGCCTAGATTAATATATTATAATACTTTTATAGATATATATATATATTTGTATAAATTGTATGAAAATGTTGTAAATTAATTTTGTGTGTTTTTGTGCCATTTTGTCTATCTTATTCTTTATTGAACTTGGAATCAGAGCCGAAATCTCTTGAAATGTAGAATTTTTCGATTTTGGTAGAAGAGTTTGGCAGCATCATTTTTGGTAGCACTAATAAGTATAAAATGGTTCACTAAAAGTAGTTCACTGTATTTCAAGTCGTAGAGTAACTACTTGAATCCAAGAGTGATTTTTCGTTCTGTTGCAAATACAATATCTACTTGTTTTTTTTTTAATCAAATCTGAAAAAAGTTTCATTAAAATATAAAAAAAATTCAAGAGATCCTGACTTTTTTCAGATTTGTATAATTTTTTGCTGTAAATTTGAAGACCCTTTGTGAATAGCTACTTTTAGAATATAGTTTCCCATTTTTGGAAAATAAACTTTGTATATGATTTTATTTTTCAATGCACATAATTGATTCATTTTTTAAGAAAATATCATGATTTTTGTATGTAATATAAGCTTTAAAACTAGAATTTAATATGTAGCTATGTCCCATTTATTGTCATTTTTCTCAATATTTTACTAACAAAAAAGTTGCTGGGGTCATAATATCCCTATTAATTTTGTGACCCATACAAATCAATTTGCTGAAATTTGGTTAAGGGTACAGTTTACCACAACTATTACGCTGACCAAAATGTTATATTTGGTGTCTCACAGGTAGAAGCATGAATATTAAGAAATGAAAAAGGTCTTGCTTCTGTATGGAAATTTTTATTGGATAAAAAAAAAGAATAAAGCTTCCAAACTTCAACAGAAAACAAAGAGCAGATCCATCTTAATCAATTTATATTGCAGAATGACATTTGTTAGTTATTCGACAATATATCCATCAACTTAAAAGTCTTTCAAAATGGAGGTGGAAATTTACTGAAAGCTTTTTGTTTATTGTTTATCTTTTGTATTATACATCTATATGATATTAAAACATTTCATTTAAACTTTGGTGTTTTCTTGTCATGTGATTCTGTATAGTTCTTCTTCAATATTTTGGAGACTGGATCTAAGATACAAGTGTCTAAATAGTTTCTTTACCTACTGATAGAGATCCATTTCAGCCTTTCATAGCATATTTTGTTATGAGTATCTGATATTTGGAATATAATACAGTACAAATGCACTGACAGCCCAGAATTTTTTATATTTCTACAGGAAACTGTTGTTACTTTTTTTTTTATTCAAAGTAAAACCAGACCTGCCAATTCTATCAAATGAAATTTTGTGTATCATAAATATAAACTCATAACTTACAGGAAAATTCATTGACATCAAGATTAGTTGTAAAACTGTGATGTGTAAATTGTTTGCAAGGGTTGTTTAAGCTTTTATAATAATATGCTGTCATTCTCTTTTTTAAGCCAATATTGTAGTAGAACTAATGAACAACTAATGATGAAAAGAAACCCAAGTCTGTTAATGATAGGAGGTTTCATATTTTCTCTGAAGCTGTTCAGATCTACGAAATTCTATTCTGCCACTGACTAAGCACAGGAAATTGGACATGCTTATAAAAAATATTTATTAACGAGATACAGATCTAGTTTCACCATTTTCATCACTTTTATCTTTCTTAAAGTCTTCCAACATGTCTCTAAAATCATTGATGAAGTTGAACTGTTTGACTGACTGGACGGCACTGTGACCTTGTAGATCTCTTACTTTCTTGATGACATCTTCAGGTGAAATCTTTTCATCTATAAGCATTATTAGACATGCTGCTACCAAGCATGACCTGCCCAAACCACCATAGCAATGAACCAAACATTTGTTTCCGTTAAGCAGATTAGCTCTTAATTCATCCAGCATTTTCATGAGATTGGGGAAACTTGGTGTCATACCATCAGGGAAAGGGTAATGATGAACATTGATGTCAGCTTCAGCAAATTCTTGTAGCAAGCCAGTAACCCTATATTTGTGAAGTTCTCCCTTTGAACACAAACAAAAGACTTCTTTGATACCTTCATCTCGAATACATTTCAAGTCGTGTTTGACACTCCTCCATGTATTTTTAAATCGGCAACCAGGCAGAGCAGATATCGCCAATTTCTCATCACACACTTCACAACCCAGATCTAACCACGCTATTTTAAAAGGCGACAAGTCGATTTCACCTTCGTCGTCGGAGGAATCGAAATTGCCACCAGTTGTTGGTTGTTCCAAAGTTGTTGCCATAATGGAACTGACAGATTTTCTGCAATATTCAGATTCCAGTTATAAATTTACTTAGAAAATCTTTGTTTATTTTCAGTTTTAAGACTTCCGCCGGAAATCAATTTTCCCGCTAAATATTTCTACTTCCGCTTCTCCATTATGATTAAAGGGAGAGAACACCCCTTCTACATCTTTCCAGTCCAATACTTTTCTTTTTTTTAAATAATGTCACAGAAGAGTCCTCAAGTTGAATAAAACAATCATTGACTCTTTAACGCATGTGCAACTAAAAAGGTGTTGTGACAAGGAAAAAATCTTGCGGAGGCAAATTATAACTTTCTGGTTTCATCATTTCATAAGTAGACCCTATTGGTAAGTAAAAAGACATTAAAAATTCTACTTGTTTATTGAATTAGATTTAAACAATGATTTGAAAATATAAATGTAAGTAATATACAAATTAGAGAACTATACACAACGACTTTCAGACATGAATGACATACGATTTATAGCAGTGCCAACTTCACAAAATATGTTTGTACATTTTGACAGTAATTCGAGGCAAGAATCGTTGCTACTTGAATTATTTGTTCAACGAGACCATTTGACAAGTAAGTGCTGGATAAAAAAGCAATGCAATAATAAAACTGTTGCGGTCGTCGGTGTTTTTGAAAGTCATGAATATTGTGGCGTCTTAATGATTTATCTACAGATGAAAATGAAAGATTATTACAACAAACATGATTCAAAGAAGTTTTTTTTACACATATTCAAAGGTATTTTGAAGCACTTTTTGACAATTTTACAATTCTATTGCTGTAACCGTTGTGGCTGTGAGGGCTGGCTATCATATTTTCTTTAGAAGCAAATTTTTAAACATGTCTCTTCTTAGAATATAAAGGCAAACAAAGTCTTCTGAAGGTCGGCAACGTATATTTCAGCCCTTGTTTTTTTTAAGCCAACCCAAATGCCACTCACAGTAACCACTAAAAAAAATATGGCTAGCCACTTATATGCACCATTAGTTTGTATAGTTAGTATTTCAAACGAAAGTGAGTTTAGATCTGGCTTGATTGACCTGCCAGACATTGAGTTCCTCATATTCTTCAATACATTCATCAACAGCATCAGGTTTAAATCCTTTAGAGGTACACTGTTCCATAATGTCTGTAATTTTCACTGATTTTACTCCCTTATCTGGTGCCATTTCTCTGATCACAGCAAATATCTGGTCAGTAATATTCTGAGGTCTGAAAAAAAGTAAACAAAATTTGCAATCAACCATATTTTATAAACATTAAAATTATGTGAGCTTTGTTTTGCATAGGGGTAAGCTTTGACCGGTAAGCCCCAAACCTGTTGAAATGGATACCCTAATAATATCCTCAATAGGGGGCATTGGGTGTTCAAGAAGGCAACCATCTGATTGGTCAGAAATTGACGTCAAATATCATTTTATCAGATAACTGTATTTCTTAACATCTGGATTCTATCTAGGTTCAAATTTGGTGACACAGGGCCCAGAAAAGTACAAGTACAATGGTCATAGTGTAACAAACTGCATCTGATGAAGACCCTTTATAAGACAGACAACAAGTAGCCGAGAAAAGTAAAGAACAATTTACCTTTTGGACAGATCAGTTTGTGAATTGAGTGTATCTCTGGACATTTCCATCAACCTCATAGCTTCATTTACATCTTCTTTTTCTACAGCATCAGCTAGTCGTAGTCTAGCCTGTAATTATACAAGTATTGTGGTCACAGAAATAATAATAATGGTAAGTAAAAAAATCTTTTTTCTTCAGGAAATAAATTTTTATTACATGCCAACTTGGGTTCAAATTTATATTCTGTAAGGTTTGTTTGAATTAATCAACTTTTGAAACATATATGAATTTCCAGCCACATATCCCTGATCAGCTGACCATAGATAAGTCCATTAGGTTCAGACCAGTGGTACTTGAAGTAAACTGTCTTATGTGAAGTTATATATTCAACAATACATACCAATGCAGTGGAAAGTCGTAAAACTGCTAACAATGTTCTAGCACTAGTAAATGTCATATCTTTATTATTTCTAGCTTCTTTTCTCATTTCAACATAGGCACTTGTAATATATTCAGCTAAACCTTCTGGTACAGTAGGCTGTTTCTTCTTACATAGAGCTATATAACGTCTACAATAAAATACACAACAGAAACATTAGATATTGATTTCAGAAAATTCATACATCACATTTAAACACCATCAAGCCTAGCCTACTAACAGGATATTGAGACTTAATATCTGTCCAGACAAAATTTCCCTCATTGCACACTGCAAGACGTTTTCATTAGCTCAGTCAGGTGCAGAAAAGTAAGGACTTACCTCATTAGTTTCATATCTAATGGTACAAACTGACAGGGTGGGTGTACATTATGTTGATGTACATACGTAATATGTTGTGCTAGTCTGGAACAAAAAAAACACAATTACTGTATTATTCAGTCTCACAAAAAACAGTCTCACAAAAAAAAAATGAATAACAATGAACCAAAATGTGTGCACAGCCAAGGGTAAACGTGTAAGTACATAGCGGTTCATATTGTATTTATTAATGGACATATACTTTTTACAATGGAGCACATTACTCATGCATCGTTTCCATGATCATACAGTATTCAGTCAAGCTGCTAAAAAAAAATTATACCTTAAATCATTTTCTCTATTAGGTTTATCTTGTATCAACCATAATAAATCAAACCTGGACAACAAAGCTGCTGGTAACTGGATGTTCTGTTCTACTGTTTTTTTGTTATTATATCTACCATAGGCAGGATTTGCTGCAGCTAATATAGACACTCTAGCATTTAAACTTGTCATGATACCTGCCTATAAAATCCAGAAATACAGTTAACATTCTTGTTTGGCACATATTCTTTGTGGCAAAGATCCAGAATTTTCAGATAGTAACTCTGAGCTAGTTTCCGTTAGTCAGTGATGCATGACAGGCTACATAAAATACACAATCCACTTTCAATTCACTCAGTTGTGAAGAATAGCCACAGATAAAACTATGAACTAAGCTAACATGGTATATGCTTAAGATTTAATAAGCCTCAATTATAATTAGATGCGGTAAGGTGCAGTTTATGGTGCAGGATGACATACACCAGAAGATGTAAGTAGCGAACGCATCAAGTACTGTATCAATCATCCCACAACGTACACCACACCACTCTTTACTTTCTTTTAATCCATTAATCTTAGATGATTTCCATGAACCAACACTTTCAGGTCCTTAATGATGCTTTAATGCATCTAGAAACCTTACCTTGGCAATAGAAATAGTCTGTTGTTCCATAACTTCATGTATAGCTGTTCTATCACCATCCATCATCTTATCAAATTCATCAATACAACAGACACCCTGATCAGCTAGTACTAACGCACCACCTTCTAGTGTCATCTCACCAGTCAGAGGATCTTTCATAACAGCTGCTGTTAAACCTACACCAGATGATCCTCTACCTGTAGTGTACTGGCCTGAAATTGAAAAGAACTTGCGATAAAATTTTGGTTTTCTTCCTACAATCTTATTCCTGCTGAATAGTGATCTACATCGTGCCCTTGTCTGGATTCAATCTTTGATGCAATATCTCGTCCCATTAAAAATTCTAAGATATTTGATGTGTAAGCTTAACTGCCATTTTGACCTATTCTCAGACATGGCACTGTTTCCTCAAAAGGAAATACTTACTTCTAGGAGCTAATCTATCTATATATGATAATAACTGTGATTTAGCTACACCAGGATCTCCCATTAAACAGATGTTGATGTTACCTGAAAGTTAAATAGTACCAAAGTAGGTTTATTGTCAAAATTAAACTTTACATTCCCAAAAAATCAGAAGCCAATTGAAACAGTATCAATATGATTAAAATAACAAGTTTTACCTCTGATCTTCATTCCTCTAGGAGATTTATCAACTCCTCCCACTAATAATAATAACAAGGCTTTCTTGACATCTTCATGCCCATAGATTTCAGGTGCTATACTACTAGCTAGTTTATCATAGAAATCATCCTCTAAAATACAAAATAATTCATAAATAACATTAGGGCCGTAACATCAAAATACTTAGTTCAATCTTACATGTTTGAAACAGTCGTGATTCTGGAAATTACAGATGTTTGATGGATTTCTGTTTTAATAGGATAAAACATCCTTGGCTAAATTCTTGTCACTGATTTTTCATATTTACAACGGTGCCAACTGGAATAATTACGAAAGTCATCCAACCAATTTATTTGACACAAATTGCACATCCAATGCGCTGAAATCATGTCCTCTGGATTGCCAAATTACCTACCTGCCAACTGTTTCAATTCATCTTCTGTTAATTCTGCTGCTTCTAATTCATCATCTTCTGTTTTGTTCATTTTAATTAATCTCTAGAAAAACAGAAAATATCAAAGCATGGTAACTTTCCCCATCGCTTCACAACTATGACACATCTTTTTCCCTTCATCTTTAAGCTTTATCTTACTGAACTTGTACACGTTTCTTATCCCAAATACTTCTGAATAAACAAGTGTCCAGGGTTGAAATTTGATTGATACTTACATGAGATTCTAGTACAGTGTCTGATAATAAACCTTGTGAAATTCCCTGAAATCCTGTCTTCATTATAGGTAAAAATATCTTCATTTAGGTTAAGGATAAACTGTAGGAAATATTGCTATCTGATTGGTTCAGCATAAGACTAGGTCTTCACCGTATCTCTTTTACCCAGGATGTCAGATGATAAGATCTCTCACTTTAAGTCTGAGCTTGTTAGCTCTAAGCTCTAAGACATGATTTACACAGCGCTTGTTAATTTTAATTATAAAGGATACACCAGTAGCAGAGACATGGTCACCAGGTTGGACTAAACGGGTAGTTTCACCCCGACATAACAAAGTCATACTTCTTGGTATATTACCTACTGGTACCTGATCACTCTGAAACACAAAGTAAAATCATCTTTTTATTCTTTCATGTTTACAAAACCTCAATAATTGTCATCTATGGAAGCTTTATTATTACAAAATTCAATGTTTTCAAGTAAACTAACCCAGATTCTCAGAATAATTTTTTTGGAAAGCAAGATATACAAATTGAAGATTACTTACATGTTCTTGTATTTTGATTTCTTGAAACTTGACAAATTTGGAACCTCGAGTTTGTAAATATAACCTACCACCAGATTTGTTAGTTGTACATTCTTGACTAGGACACATTATCAACGGCATGAAGGACTGAGATCCAATCTAAAATACAATCATTAATGTTAGATCATAAGTTTTTAACAAAGTAACGTTAATAAAGTATTATGTATAGACACATATCTTCAACCAAGATATGTGCATATTTTATGTATATAATCCACCCTAATCCACAGTATTCATGTACAGAAAGTCACATATTTAAAGATGAAAACAATGTGATAAGCAACAAGAAACACCCTTTTTAAGTCAATGAACTTTTCTTAGCATGCTAAAGAACATACTTTAATGATTGAAAATGTACATGTGCAGAATAGTTTAATATTTGTTATAGGGGAATTAGATTATGAATTATTGAATGAAAATAGACTTACTGGTTGATAAGTTTCATTACCACATGTATCACAAGTATAGGTTGCTACTACCATCATAGGTTTAACTTCTGTAGCTCTAGTAACAATACCCTTGACACAACATAACTCTCCTACATTTACAGCTTTAACTTCTCTAATAGCTACATGTTTCTGATTACTAGGTGCCTTGAAATATACTTCACTGGAAAATACAGAATTTAATCAATTAAATAAGTAAAAACTGCTTAATTAACATCATAAGAAATTGTTAGTTGGTCTGCAAAAATGATCTCCATTCTTATTGGAACAGCTGTCAATGGGTACAGAAAATCAAAATCAAGCAATTATAAAGATTTTGGGCAAAATTCAATAATTAATCATCTATAAATTTTCTCGTTTATAATTTTTGGCCTTTACTTATCTGTTGCATTGCAATACACGTTCACAATAAGGTCAAGTGACCAGCTTCAGAATTAATTTGGTGAAAAGTGAGTTTAGAATTTACTTACTATCTTCTCATTAACTCTGGAGGATATTTATTCATAGGATCTCTAGTTATCTCTTGACCTTCAGGATGGTTCCTTTGTTCCATCAATAATCTATGTTCAATATAGACATCTAACGAGTCTTTATACGCCACCTATTAATATCAAAACATATAAAAACTTAATAAATATAACCAATATTTATAGCTATATGGACTCTCTGAAAGAAAATCTTGGGACCTTTCTAAGATTGTGTCATTCCTTTGTTGTGGGGTCTTAAATATCCTTCTTCAATGTGATGAATCAATAAGCACTCATATTAGATTAGTTAGAGCATATATTTTCAATTTTAACTTGTCCTTGACTATAAATATTTAGTGATAATCAAGGACATCCATGATGAAATTGTCCTTTTAATTAATAAAGCTATGGCTCTATAATTTTTAACTGACCTCTCTCTCTTTATAATCAGGTAAAATATCAGATACAGAATCAGCAAATAATCTGACATATCTCTGAGCGTTTTCTACTACAGCTTCAGCTAGATCAGGATCATGTTCTGTTAAATCATCCAAATCAATTGTTAAAGATACATTCTCTCTATGAGCTATATGGGTCTGAAACAATAAATACAACCAAATGGTTAAAATCATGGCCTGCTGCATTGAAAAACAGTGAAGCGATGATAGGTGCTAACACAATGTAATCTCTGACCCACCGGTCATGAAATGAGAAACAGTATAGGATCAAACAACTTTACGAAAGACTAGGCCTATATGGCAATTTAAGGCACCAAAAAATATGATATTTTATCAGCAGCTCAGATCATGAATCTTATGAACTAACTTACCAATTGTTGACCATATACAAAATCTTTTCCTCCATCTTTACTGTCTTTGTAGAATTCTCTCAAGAAAGTTGTTATCTTATCTGAAACAGTGTATGAATATACTTTAATAAATAGCCATAGGTAAGCACACAAGAAAGAATTGGGACGGCTATTTAGTTATATTGTAAGGCTTATTGGGAAAATGACCCCACTGGCTGATCATTTCAATTTTCAAAGGAAGAGGGTTTTAATATGCAAGCAAGTTTTAATATGTACAACACTTAACTATGGTATTGAGTTTGGTGAAATGTAACTTTTACTGGACAGTGATTCAGACTAGTTGACTAACGCCAGGTTGTGGTAGCTAGAATCAAGACAAGTAAAGCGTAAACAACAAACTTTGCACAACGATACTGAGGAACAAATTATTCGTAACATCAATAAAAATATTCTGAGCATATTGCACTTACTTTTCTCTTCTGCGTAGTCTCTAGTAGGCATTTTGATGCTGGAAAATTAAGGATTATTGAAAGTTTACAAATATGATCATAAGTTTCACAATAGGTTGTTCTAAAACGGCGGGAAAGTGTATCACGTGTCCCTAAAGTTCATGGGGTTAAATGTATTAGAAGGCCAGATTTGATTGGGCAACAAAATTACAGCCAATCAAAACAAGTGACATAAAGGATTTTAATAACAAACAGAAACGTAACCGAAGTTTAATACAAAGACAACTACGTAACCTCATTGATCTTTATTCCAGTATTGTATGATACTCATTCTTGTTATGATTGTAAAACTAATTTAAAACAAATTCGTATTAAATGATTTTATTGATATGAAAATAAGTCAATTAAGTTGTAAAAATATTAGGTACGAAATGTTTACAGACCTTAAACGAAAACACCTGCTGCGCACTTCCGCTTATCAGAAATCTCATTTCTAAAAGGAATGTCATTTGTCATATAATATGAGTCCCCTTAATATTGACCTTAAATATAATTGCAACAATATCTTAAAAGAAATGCTCAGCAAATATTGAAAGTTGGCCACTTTTAAAAGCAATAGGGAATTCCATTCGAAGCGCATGTGTCAGCGGAAGTGTAATTTGCAAAAAGAAACATGGTGGGTGAATTGTTTTGATTTCTACCTTCTGCAAATAATCTAGAATGTTAAGCCTCGTATGACCACAATATGGTTAGATTTGTTTTACATCGGAAAAGACACGTTAAAATCATGTGTTTAAGCCAGTGTAAAGTGATAAATACACTTTGTAAAGATTGAACTTCTGAAATATATGATGAGAACGAGAACTTATTTTTATCAATATATTTTTAGAATATTTTATTACATAATCGCCTACCTATGTAGGGATTACATGATATCCTAATGTTCTAATTCATTTTCCCACTGTTTTGTTTATTTCCAAAAATATTAACCTTATAACATCCAAACTAGAGAGCTTTTGGACCAAAGTGTGACTATACTAAATATATATGTCTTTGCATATTGAAGGCCAAATTTTCATGAATTCATGCTTGGATATGTTTAAGTTTATCTTTATAACTGTATCTATAATTAAGGGCTTTGGTTAAGTTTGATTTATGTACCAATAAAAGCTACTCATTTTGTCAGCTTCTTCAAATTTATAATAAATCTTGTATCGAATTTTTGTACCATATTATTTAATTTCTGATTAGGCTAGTCACTGTCATTTCTTTAGCAGTTTTCCTCTCATTTTTGATGACAATTGTTTGTTGGGCAATAAATTTAATGATACATCTCCAATTTGAAAGGGCTATAGTTGATTGAATTGATTACAGTATAGTTTATTGATTGAGTTTATATTTAATTACCACCTATTATATTAAGAAGAGATTAAAGGATTAACCTGGATTTGTCCCTATAGATTGTGTACCCAGGCTAGACAATATATAGTAAAGTAATTGACACAAGCTGTATTATTTTGCTACCAGAAAATAAATCATCTTTAGCTGAGAATATACACTGATTACACCAAATCTCTACTTCCCTATTTACATCTACCCCCTCATTAGATAAAGTTCCCTTTTAATATGGAATTTCTCTTAAAAATATTTCCAAATTTTGATTTTAGTTGTGTTTTGATATTTTTACAAATTTTGATCATTAAATTTGCAATCTATTTATTTAATCAACAAGTATTAAAGTATTATTGCTCATGCAATTTGCTCAAATGGGATAGAACTAATAGCAAATTTTTATCTGTTTTTGCATATTTTTATATGTGGAAACTGATCCATGCTTTTATACTTTCAGCATAAGTTAAAAAGTTCTCAAAAAGATAAAGTTCGGCAATTTATTGCCTTTACTCAATGTGTTGAAAAATCAGCTATAAATTGTTTGAGTGTTCATGACTGGAAACTTGATGTTGCTGTGGACAATTTCTTCCAAAATCCAGACAGATACAGTGGTAGTGGTGGGGGTGATTCTAGGACTACTGTTGATAGGAAAAAACTAGATGCATTGTGGAATAGATACAAAGGTGAGAAACATTATCTGGTATGATTTGCAATTTTGTTAAACATTTTGATGAAGATTCAATGTTTATGGGACATGTTTGTACATGTGAAAATGAGATCATGTATGATTTGAGCATTTCAATTTTACATTTCTGCAACAGAACAGTTGTCAGAAATACACTGGATGTCTAGTTAAGGATTTATGCGCAAATCGTGGAAGTCAGACCTGAAAGACTACAAATATTCAACTAATTCTAAAAAATGGTTTAATAGTTAGAAGATATAACATTTATACTAAAATTTCTATTTGTAGACCCACATGAAGAAGATAAAATGACAGTAGATGGAGTGATGAAATTTTTAGAAGATTTGAATTTAAACCCTGAATCTAGAACAGTTTTAATATTAGCCTGGAAGTTTAAAGCTGCTACTCAATGTGAATTTACTAGGGATGAAGTAATAAATGGAATGTTTGATTTAGGGTAAGTGCTTAATCAGTTTTGGAGAGTACAAATATTTGGGGTCTTATATAAGGATACATTATCCTTTGATTTTTGATGGAAATTAAGTTGAAAGGAAAGTTTGATAGTTTACGAATCCAGCCCCATTTTTTTTTGGCTGTAAGGTTACCCCTCTGTTGTATTGCTCTAATGAGTAATAAATCTAAATGGATAATAACTTTACACACCAATTACAATTTTTGATAATGATACTTTTTTCATGAGTCCTCAAGTTTTAGATGCTATCTTCTAGGTGATTTCTCAAATATGTAACAATATTTTTCAGGTGTGATTCTATAGATAAATTACGTGTAAAGTGTCAAACAATGGAGTTTGATATACGAGATCCTTTACGATTTAAAGATTTTTACCAATTTACTTTCAACTATGCCAAAAATCCAGGACAAAAAGGACTAGGTAAACTAATTTTATGTTGGGAGTTTCTGACTAAACTATTTGTTTTTATCAGTTGAATGACAGATTTTAATTTGGCGAAATTTCAATGAAGGTTTTCTGAGTTATTTTCCTTGATTAGTCAAAGTTTATTTATTTTTTCAGATTTAGATATGGCCTTAGCATACTGGAATATTGTTTTAGCAGGGAGATTTAAATTTTTGGACTTGTGGGTTTCATTTTTACAAGTAAGGACATTTTTTGTAGAATATACAACTGAACTAGGTAAAAAAGTGTTTCAATTTAAATCAGAATTGTTGTTGTTGGACAAAAGAAATGTTGTCTGATTTACATAATTTTGGGGGCCTATAAAGATATTTGTTTGCAAATTTACTATACACCGGATGCAGTAGAGCTCTAAAAGTATTTTCAATCTTAAAAATATAGATAGCAGATATCATGATATTCGTTATTTTTTAAATGAAAAGACATCTTAGATAATTTGGTGAAAGTTTAAACAGTAACTCATGGCAGGTGAGGCGTCTATCAAATTTGTTTTATTGTGTACTAATTTATTGTAGGAACATCATAAAAGATCTATACCTAAAGATACATGGAATTTATTGTTAGATTTTTGTAATATGATTAATGATGATATGACAAATTATGATGAAGAAGGTAGGTACATGTGAAACAGATGGCAAATAACCAGAAATGTAGTAGTAGCGTGGAGAGCCGATATAGGGTCAACTCTCGAAAGCACTGACACAGGCATCAGAATTGTTTTTGCCTTGAGGAGAATTCAAACACACAGCACTTAATTGCCTAGCAGACAACAATCCAACTCACTTTCGATTGAGCTATAAATTTGTGCTCAATTTTAGCAAACTATCCTATCTTTTTTTATGAACCATCAGCAACATGAGATGATTGTTGTTGCTTGTGTTAGGTTAATTTTTCTATATTAGCTATCAATTAGATACTGCCTGATTGGGCAAATGAAGTGCAGTGTGCAATGAGGGAAATTTTGCCACTGATGCAAACAAATTTCCTAGTGTCGAAGTATCCTTCACATGCACAGTCTGTAGCATTCAGGGGTTCGGTTTATTGTCCCGTCTTTGTCAGCCCCTCGTATCTGCATCACCAATAAAGGAATATCTGAGCCTATTCTGTGATTGAAACCTGGATATTGAAGGTGCTAACTCAATAGAGCCTGTTTTGATCTTATTATTTCAGGAGCATGGCCTGTGTTAATAGATGACTTTGTTGAATATGCTAAACCTTTAATTACAACTAGTGGTTCTCGTAGTACTACAGTGTAAATATGTATAATAATAGATACTCTTCTTTACTAAATTTTATATCAGACTTGTATAATATGGACTCAAATGAACTATAGTGATATGTGGAAGGTTTCAAAACACTTTGAAACAATGGACAATTTCAAATGGTGAAATGACCCAGAGTGCACTGGTTTGAATTATGGCTGTTCCAACTTTAAAACCTACAAACCATGCACATATTCGCTTGCTTGTTCTGCATTGAGGGAATACACAAAAGTTGAAAGTTATTTAAGGAACTGCTGACAAGCCAACATCAATATTGACTCAATAATTAATGTTGGATTACCACCAATTGGAAAAATATTAGAGTGACTCAATAAAGAGTTTATTATTTAAAGTGCTTGAATATTTATGTATATCAAAAAACTTGGATTTTGAATAGATTTAAATTCTATGATACTGAATTATTTCTTCTTTTTTTTTTTTTTTTAACCAATATTAATCAGACAACAAAATAGCCTACATGAATTGGAATATGAGTATTTCTGCTATCTGTATCACTTGTCAGAATTAAATCTGATGTCTGGTTCCCTTCCAATTAAATGAAAATGTACTGTAGAATTGTAGATTGTCGTCAAGTTCAATGCTTTATAGAGAGTTTGTGTGTATCTGGTATAGGTAGGGTTAACGCTTGTGAGGTTTTTTTTTAATTGTTATAGAACCAGACATCAGAGTTTAAGTTTGAAAAGAGGTAGAGATAGCTGAAATTGAACTGTATCAGCTGGTAAAGCAAATATTGTTTATATAAGTTATCCCCTTAATTTTGCTGAATTTTTTTTTTATTGAATAATTTGTTTGAATGCATCTGCTTTTAGGGGCTCTGTAGGTTAGAGTATTGAAAACTTTACATGACATCATTTGCTTGATCAAAGATTCTAATCTCAGTCGTTGTATGAGAGTCTTGTGACCTTGAATAAGTAATCTCTCCTCATGCCTTTCAAACAAGCGGTTAATTGATATATCCATATCAATACCAAGATCAATACTGAGAGATTTGTCCACAGACAAGCTGGTAGCAAAGATCCTTGTGAACCAAAGTTGTTATCCTTATAACAAAACACTTTTAAAATGGCATAAATAATAATACACAACTTGCTTTGAAATAACATTAATAACCAAGGAGTTTTATTGATTTAAGTTATTATTAATAAAAGTTGTTATCTTATTAATACCAATTGTTAAGATATTTATTATCTTCTTCTTGTTTGTCAACAAAATTTGTTACTAAAACCTATTCACATCATATAAGAAACAAATAAGATAGGGAAGGGAGAGATATTTTCTGATATGACATGATATAGTGTGAACATTAAGGGGTCACTTGATTGGTGAGGTCTGAACGTTCAGAATTTCTGGAATCAACAGAAAGTTCAAAAAAACAAGATGGAACAGAGTTCAGAACAAATTCCATGCATGCCGAAAAAATAGTGGGTGCTGACAGAATTCAAAATGGCGGATGGGAAACTTCTGAATGTGACATTCTGCTTCCGTACTGTTCCATTGGGGTCAGAATTAGAACAGACGGAACCTGTTTAAAACTCTCCAATCAGTGTTGACTAAATATTTAAAAAGCGTTATTTATTTTCCTTAAGTGTAGACTTATGTTCACTTGTCTTGTTTTGTTTTTTTTTATTGAGCCAGACATGATTATTAAATATATGAAAACATATTTTGTTTTTATTTGACAAGTGTATTATAGAAGTTCAAAAACCATTATAAACTACGTATGATTCTTGCATGGAAATAACAGTTAACACACACAAACATAACCATTTTGAATATCTTCCTCAACTTTTGAAAAAGGTTGCGATATTTAACTAAGCTTTAAAATCACATTTCAAGTTTCAGAAATGGCTTTGATTGTGATTTGAACGCTTTGTTGAAATATTATTTTAAAATTCGCCCTCTTTAAGTCAAGAAAGATTTGGAACAATGTTCATGTGTGTTATTTCCATGTAAGAACCGTACATAGTTTCATATGTTCAAATACATATCTGAACAAAGGAAAATGCATAGTAAACTGGTAAGAGGTATTTGGTTCTCAATAACATCTACTTGAATTGGTGTTGCCTATGAGACATACGCTTTTGTAGTTCCATAGCTATGTTTAGGCTACTGGAGAGTGATGCTATTGAGACAGAAGATGTTCAGCTTCTGAAACACCATATTCAAGACTTCCTGATTGATAATGTTCTTTTAGTAGGTCTTATTGAAATTTAGAGCTTATTTTGTTCAGTAAGGTACATTTCGAGATTTTCACCCTCCCACTTAAAGGTGAAGGTCATTGAATGAAAATAAACCAGAAGTAGAATCATATGATGAAACTATTAAATTAATGAATTTAATTATAAACTTGTGAAGATAATAATTTGTAAGTACTGTACTGTGATGCTTTGGATGTAGACGAGACAATGAATAAAACGTTTGACATGGTCAAGACCTGACAAATTGGCTACAGACCAGATAGACCAGACGACGGGCACATGTTTGACATTTGCATTTATTTGTCAGTCACTGTCACCGTCATGAAGATGAAGTCTGTTATTTTCATTGAAGTACGCAAGCAGTGCATATTTGATTCTGAGCAAGGCATAAAACTGTGTGCTTCTATTTCAAATAATATCATCGTAATCTCCGAGGCAGTATAACCACTTAAAGTGCATTTAATGGAGGGAGGGGGGGGGGGGGGGGGGGTCAAAAAAGAGGCAGAACAAAAGACATTGTATTATAGCCTACTGTTCTTGGTTTTGATTCTGTTGTTGCCAGTATTATGATTATCATTACTTTATAGCCTGTTCCAATTAAAAGTCAATAAAGATTGGGTAGCCTACTAAAAGTAGGGCTTAGAGTAAGCTCAATCAAGATCATAAAAATTCTAATCAAACACCCAGTGTTACTCCTTTGCTCACACAATAAAAGTAGGGCTATGTACAATTGATTATGTTAAAATGGTTATTTGATCCTTTCGATTCCTGTGTGAAATCTTGATAAGCAATGATTTAAGACATCAATACTTTTTGTTTTTCTTGAAAAATTATCCTCAATTTAGATCTTTTGAGTGCTCACCAATAGGCTAATAATTACATACCAGCTGAAAATGAAATTTGAATTACATTGAACCAAATTGACTACAGCTTATTGATGCCAACACATTTTTAAGAAAAACAAACCAGCCAGTAATGGAAATTGGGGTTTATTTTTTCTAAAATTGACCACACGTTTGTTAAGAGCAAATTTGAGACAGTGCTCCCTCACATTGAGTTTCTTATCATTTACTTGTAGCATATAAGAATGCTGCTTAGAAGAAATTTGTTAAAACATTTAACCATTTTATCTACAAATAAAAATAAGCTATTGACTTCAGCAACTTCTGTTTTTCCAAACCTCGGACAAAAAGTAAGTTACGTACACAGTAGAGAACTTAGTTTTTTATAAGTGTAGTTAACATTCTTTCACAAATTTGTTTTTTTTTTTCTTTTTCTTTTTTGAACTAATTTTTTTAACAGTAATATTGCTAAAGTAATCATTTCCAAAATTGTTTCTTTCAATACAAGCAATAGTATTTTTTCACAATAAAAATCGAGATGCTCCACCTTGACTGTTTAGTGCAGTTTGATGTTGACCCTTGCCAAACAAGGAAGGTGATGACCAATGAAAACTGTTCTAACTAAAAAGTAAACAAGCTAAAGCACATATTTGAAATTGCAACTTGTTGGGCCGAATGGGTCCATTTGAGGCCAGGAGTATAAGGTACATCACAAATTGTACACATACTGCAAGCTTACAGCTATCCTTTCACATCTTGTTTCTCTGCTTTTGTGGATTCAATGGTTGACTGATCTCTGATTTATTTTTAAAGGTTTTGACTTCTCAATTTTTGTATAAAACAAAACATGATTCCACAGTGTTATAAGAAGGAAGAGATTTATGACTTTGGATTGCTTCCCCTATCTCCAAATAAAAAATCATTATAATTTTTGGCTTCCTCTCTATGAAATGTCTAGATATGACCAAAAAATGCTACTAAACATTGTGTTTTGTGTTTGTTACACCTGAACAAAGCTTTTTTTTTAAATCACAAAATCAAAATCCTTGGACATATAAATGGAAGAAATAGTGAAAATGTATCAGGTGTTTCAGTAGAACTATTAATTGACTGTGAAAGACAAGATTCTAACAACTAAATCCACAGACAACAACCCTCCCCCGTCAGCCTGATTTAGTAAAAGCATATAATCATTGCTGAAGACAATGTATGCTACTGGTACATGTAGCACACGTAAAAGATCCCTTGCCAGTGGTGGAGCTAAAGGGTGGGCAGCAAGTATTTCGGGCAAAAATCTCATAACTAAATTAGAAATTCGTGCAATCTCAGACTTTTTTCGTCCCCCCCCCCTATCGGACGTAAATCTGGCTCTGCCACTGTTCCTTGCCAGTGGACAATATAGAATATCCTCTTATTTAACACAGTATGCAGTTGCCAATGAGGAAAAGTAGGACATTTCAGGTCAATTGTTAAGATTACTTACTACAGCACATAAGGTCATTTACAATAATTTATATTTCATGTTATAGTAGGACAACATGAATTAATATATATATTATCAGTATGTAGAATGCTCATTCATCCTCATATTAGATTAGTTTTCATTTTATTCGACTGTTACTACAGTGTTATACTCTCTGACTATCTTACTGTGACTATATTAGAGGTATATTAGAGGTGTCTTACTAATTGGGATAATAGCTGCTTTCTTAATTTTTTCTGTGTATCCAGGACACTGATATCATCAATTTGCAACCATTCCAATTTTCAATCAGACATCAATTCAACTAAAACTAAGTGTTTGATGACTCACTAAGCATGAGATAAAGCATATTCTGTGATAAGTGACGTCATTAATAGTGGAATTGACGTCTGATTGAAATTTGGAATGGTTCAAATTGATGCTATCAGTGTCCATGACACACATACAAAATTCAACCTTTAACTAAATAGTTGTTGGTATTAGATTGCCTTTATGTTGGTAAAAATGATCCATTAGGAAAATTTCATCTGTTTTTCAAAACAAAGGATAAATCATTGAGAAATATCTACCGGAAACTTGATAAAACTCAACATATTGTGTGCAATTATTAAATTAACCATTTGAATGTCTAAATATAATTGATTTACAATTGGGTTATTTTATATAAGCTTAGAAATTCCTGATTATAAGTGAGCAGAAATGATAAGTTAATGTTGATGATGTGTAATTCATTCATTGTTTTGTGAATTTTTCAGAGGATGAGTTCCAATAAATATGAATTACCTAAAAAGTTCCATGGAACTGAGAAAAATGTCTGGTAAGTTACTCAGATTGAATGGATTTCTGATATACCGTAATATTTACTGCAAATGTAAAGAAAATTTTTATCATTTTACATGTATAAGGAACACTGATAGCATAGACTTGCACCATTGGTTTTTTGCAATTCCACTAAATTGAATAGTTTTTATAATGTAACTATCCCATTTGCCCCAGTAGAAAAAATGGTTTGCCCATTTGTATGCCTTCTTCATTTCCAAGAAAGAAATACAAATCTCATAATTTTTTGCCCCAAAATACATCAAATTAATTCTGTTTTTCAACATTTTTCTAAGGGTAAAGCCCTCTCAGAAATTCCATAGGAGATTAAATGAAATGAAATGAATGGAGTTTTACGTCCTACTTTTCTGCACCATGTGGGCCAATGAAGATGGCATGCCCTGGCTAAGAGAACAAGAAACACAATAATAATTGTTGTTTTGTGTATGTTGTTGATTTAACTTGACCAAACATGATATTGGACTATTGAAATATGTTTCATTTATTCATGTCGAATATCACAAGATTATCTATGTAATATAATATAATATATATTTCAGGGTAGAGTTTAGTAAGTTAGCTGTTGATCATCAGGCATTAAACCTAGGTCAGGTAAGTCTAATCTGGTTTATTTATACACTCACACAGAACTATCTACATTGTTTACATCCTTCCTAATCTGTGCTGCTCTTGTATATAAACCTTACAATCCTGAATTTTGCATAAGTGACCAACCAAAATGACTAAATACAGTTGAAGTGTAGTGAGCAGACCTTGGATTTTTGATGATCCTTTCTTAAGATAACCTTGAGAAACGAGTTAGTAAGTGTTTGATGATATCACTTATCGCAAAATATGCATGATCATATAAGGCGCTTCGATTAGTGATGTCATCAAACACTTAGTTTTAGTGTATTTGCAGGAACCACAGACGTCTGATTGAAAATTGGAATGGTGGAAATCGATGCTATCAGTCTCTTTACAATCCCTTTAACTATGAAATCATAATTTAAACCTCTTGATGCAACCGTGCATTGTTTCTGCTTTCCATATTACACTCCAGTAAGTTTTTCAGTTTTGGGCCAGATGGGTTAAAAAATGATGTCATCTAGCTTTACTGTTCAATATTTTGTATGTTTTCAGGGATTTCCAGATTTTCAACCACCACAGTTTGTGTTAGATGCTCTGAAAAATACTGTTACCAATGGCAACTATCAAATGAACCAATATACTAGAAGTTATGTATGTATATATAATTAGTGAATTTTTATATCTGCAGATACGTCATGTTGCTTTGTCAATGTCGTTTGGCTAAAATTAAATGTAGGAACTGATCACATTCCATTTACTGTTCAAGGACCCTATGCAGTGTGCAATGAAATAATAGGAGTTTTACTTCCTACTTTTCTGCAACATGTGGGCTAATTAAGACAGGCAATGCCATGCAGGGTGCAATGAGAGAAATTTTGCCTGTACAGCGGCATTACCCTGCTCTTTTTCGCTTTCCAACTGTCGAGGGATCTTTAATGTTCACAGTCTCTAGCACACAGGGCCTCAGTTTATTGATCCATCCAAATAACTAGAAGCTTTTTCAGTGTGCAATGAAGGAAATTTTGCTAGGACAGTGCAACAGATGTTCATACATGTACTTTTGGCTACTTTGTTTTTTTTTTTTTTAAATTTTCAGGGCCATCCAAGATTAGTTCAGGCCTTGTCTAAAGTATATTCACCTCTAATGAATAGAACTATTGATCCTATGTCTGAAATATTAATCTCTGTCGGTGCTTACGGTTCTCTGTTTTCATCTTTAAATGGCATCATTTCTCCAGGTGATGAGGTTTGTTACATTGATTACTATATTTGAAGAAACTTGTTTTTGCACATGAGTCAAAAATAGACCCATATCTTGGAGAGCAATGGAGGTTTGTGTGAGAATCTTATCATATGGACAAAGTGACTGACAAACAAGTTGTGGCATAATGATGAAAGATGACTTATTCAAGATCACCAGACTTTCAGAGCAAATGTGGTGATGTAAGATTTCAACACTCTAACCCATTGTGCTACAGTCTGTCTTCATTAACCTTGAACAACTAATCAATAAAGATAACTTTTTTCATATGAGAATGTGCCCATACTGAAAATATTAAAAAGCTTTGAAATCAAAACATAAAAATAGCTACGTGGATGCATTTTGATTGGATAGGTAAAAAAATCATGTGACATCATTAACATATATTATTTTTGAACCGAGAGCCTATTCTTGTAGGTTAGTTTGATTAGGTTTGTATTTTATATTGCAGGTTATTATTATAGAACCATTTTTTGATTGTTATGATCCGATGGTAAAAGTAGCCGGTGGTCAGTCTGTCTTTGTTCCTATTAGGCCTGTAAGTTATTTATTTAAGTTATCCATTATATAGGTGTAAACTGGAAAGAAGGGTGTGCCCACCTTAAGTGTTTCGTTAATGGCTGGTAGAAAAAATCAGAAAAAGAAAAATGCAAAAAACAACATAGGTTTCCAGCTGGTCCTTGGCCAAAACTCTTGGCATTGATCTGATATTATTCGTACCCATTTACAGATGGGTCGATTTTAATAATGAAGAAAGATAAACTTACTCAAGGTCAACAGACTTTCAGAGCAAATGTGGTGATGTAAAGATTTCATCACTCTAACCCATTGTGCTACAACCTGTCCTCATTAACCTTTAAATGTATATCATTGTCATTGCTCAAGACAGTTCATCAACATTATTGCTTATTTAGATTCAGTTCTGGATGTATTTAAAAGAAATTTGGTAACCGATATTGAAAATCAAGAAAATCATCAAAAATTTATCATGAGTTCTCGTTATTTTTCGGTAAAATGTGTTCTAATGAATCTATAAATCTAAAAAAAAGTTATACAATTGCAGAAGACATCTTTCAATTGGCTTAACAAAGATGCTTATGGGCTTGTGTTACCTTTCCTTGCAAGCTATATTTGAAAGAAAATATCACCCAATTCATGACAGATCTATATATCTATTTTAGACTAAAGCGGGAGTTGAAGGACCTACATCTAGTGTTGATTGGAAGATAGATGAATCTGAATTAGAGAGTAAATTTAATCAAAAAACTAAAGCTATTATAATAAATACTCCAAATAACCCTTTAGGAAAGGTAAGATCTGTCTTGTTAATTTTATTGGTTTTAGTTACAAAATCGTGTTAGCCAACTGTTTAAGGCTTACAGGTACTTTCAAAAATGTTTGCATATATATCATACAAGTTCTATATTTATTATATATAACAGGTATTTTCTAGAGAGGAATTAGAAATGATATGATATGTATATCAGATGAGGTCTATATTTATTATATATAACAGGTATTTTCTAGAGAGGAATTAGAAATGATATCTAGATTATGTATAAAATATGATGTGATATGTATATCAGATGAGGTCTATATTTATTATATATAACAGGTATTTTCTAGAGAAGAATTAGAATTGATATCTAGATTATGTATAAAATATGATGTGATATGTATATCAGATGAGGTCTATATTTATTATATATAACAGGTATTTTCTAGAGAAGAATTAGAAATGATATCTATATAAAATATGATGTGATATGTATATCAGATGAGGTCTATATTTATTATATATAACAGGTATTTTCTAGAGAAGAATTAGAAATGATATCTAGATTATGTATAAAATATGATGTGATATGTATATCAGATGAGGTCTATATTTGTTATATATAACAGGTATTTTCTAGAGAGGAATTAGAAATGATATCTATATAAAATATGATGTGATATGTATATCAGATGAGGTCTATATTTATTATATATAACAGGTATTTTCTAGAGAAGAATTAGAAATGATATCTAGATTATGTATAAAATATGATGTGATATGTATATCAGATGAGGTCTATATTTGTTATATATAACAGGTATTTTCTAGAGAGGAATTAGAAATGATATCTAGATTATGTATAAAATATGATGTGATATGTATATCAGATGAGGTCTATGAATGGTTAGTGTTTGGAGAAAGTAAACATATAAAAATAGGTATGTTGTAGCTTTTAAACCCTTTATTAATGGGTTCTGCTTGTTCAGATTCATAGAAACGAATGGACATTCAATTAAACATGTTGAAACAGAGTTCAGAACGCGTTCCACTTGTGCCAAAAAATTGTAGATGTAGACAGAATTCAAAATAGCAGAAAAAGGAATAGAAGGGAAAATTTTGAATGTGACATAATCAGTACCGTACTGTTCAATTGAACACTATTTTATAAGTAAGAGGGGCTGACATGGAAAAAGCGTCTAGTCGTTCAGATGGGACAATAAACCGAGGCCCCGTGTGCTACAAGCTGTGCACGTTAAAGATCCCTTGACAGTTGGAAATCAAAAAAGATCAAGCGAATGTCACTGTCCTGGCAAAATTTCCCTCATTGTACCCTGCATGGCGTTGCCCGTCTTCATTAACCCACATGGTGCAGAAAAGTAGGATGTAAAACTCCATTTCATTTTATTTTAGAATTTAACTGTTATCATTTATGTATCATCAAGATATTTTGTCATATCATTGCAGCCACCCTGCCAGGAATGTGGGAAAGAACATTAACTATTGGTAGTGCTGGTAAAACATTCAGTGCTACAGGTTGGAAACTAGGATGGACTATAGGTCCAGCTAATCTGTTACTTGGTGCTCAATGTATGCATCAAAACTGTAACTACAACTGTCCTACCATCTTACAGGTAAGATGTCTTTGAAATATTTTAGCTTCTTTTTGCATTTTCAATTCATGTCTGGTATTTGGTGTTCTGGTAATTCAAGATAAATTTAACCAAATCATTGTGTCATAAAACCATACAATTCAATGCCAAAGGTGGTTGTATTGAGAGGGCAAAAGTAAAGTTTTTCTCAAAAGATAAATTGAGGTGGGAAACTATTGTTTGTGCGAATAGCTGAGCATACTAAGGATTGTTTGGATTAAAAGTGTAGGTCAATCTTCATGACTGTCCTGACAAAACTCTCCACTCTTTATTACTGGTGCTGAAAGCATGCAGTAAAAATTGATTTAGCCTTGTATCTGTTCAGAACTCTACTTTAAAGATGCAATTGTTGTTGATAAATAAATCACCTATTATATTACAGGAAGCTGTAGCTCTAGCTTTTGAACATGAATTGCCCAAAATAGATACCCCAGAATGCTACTTTAAACAACTACCCCTAGAGATAATACCTAAACGAGATATGTTAATTAGTTTGTTTAACGAGATGGGAATGTGGCCAGTTATTCCTGATGGTGGTTATTTCTTAATGGCAGACATATCTGGTATAGGTAAGTAAAAATAGACAATGAATCAAGTTTGAAAATTCTAAGGAGCCATATGAAACCTTGCTTACCAGAAACCATTATCGACCATGCAAAATCACAAAAACATACATTATCTTCGAAATACAAATAAAGATGATCTTTCATCTCACATTGAATTCAGTATTATGAATCAGATAGATAACAATTCTAAAAGGCAAGATTTCATCTCATAGAAGCTTTCAAAAGTGATATAAAACTTAGGTTGACGAGGATTCTGTCTACCAGCTGGTCTTTGGTCAAAACCTCTTGGCATTGATCTTTCTCATATTATTGTGCCAATTTACATTAGAGTAGACTAAAATAATGAGGAAAGATGGTTTAATCAAGGTCACCAGACTTTCACATGCAGACTGAAATGAAAACCACAACCACATTTGTTCACCTTGTGATCAATGGTCTATCATGATTAAGGTCGCTACCTATAGACCTTATTCACGCAATGTTTTTGTGGCACTGAAAGCCAAGGTTCATAAGGCAAATTATGTCATCCATTGATAAAAATAAATAGCCTGACATCACTAAACATCCAATTAACTGCAAGAAAATGGTCTTTAAACCAACCCTTCTCAAAATTGTATGAAGGTAAAATTCATCAGAAAGTATCATTAAATAACTTCATCAATTCCAAATTTAATGATGTAAAATATAATTAGTTTTGATCCTGTTAGTAATCTATTAGAGTTTTATGTTTCCTATAGATGTTGATTTATCAGGAGAGAACCCAGAAGAAGCAAGAGATGTCAAATTTGTTAAATGGATGACTAAAAATAAGGTATGTTATTAATCATATTATATTACCTCATTTCTCCACACTTCATTTGTCCATCTGGAGATTAAGTTGCATATATTCTTAGAGTTAAACTTTTCACCTCACCCCTCTAAGAAATATTGAGATGCCATTGCAAATGCTTCTGAAAGGCTGCCTGCTGTCGGATTTCATCCTCTATCAACTTTCAAGAAACCATGACACTTTCTTCAGCAATTGGTCAACATTTGAGGTGTAGTAACATCTTCAGATAGTTTTGGGAGTGTTGTGCAGATCATTAATGTTGATCCAACCTTTTTTAAAATTATTATGAGCGATCTCAACAGTGAACATTTAATTTTTTTTTGCACATCAAAAGTATTTGAAAGTCGCTCATTTTTAAAGTATTTTAATATTGAAATTCTTGTGACAGATTTATCCATATTGTTGATAACATGATAATTTATGTTTAATACATGTTTTATTCCAGAAATTGACGGCCATTCCACCATCTGTATTTTATTCTAAAGAACATCAGTCTGTTGGTGAAAATTATGTGAGATTTTGTTTTATTAAGGTAAGTTTCATTTACGATTGTTTCAAATCTTTTAAGCCCAAATACTACGGGGGTGTTGATATGGCTATATTTGCCAGACATGACCGACAGGGCAGTTCAAATGACAGACTGTTAATATCCTCTACCGGACATCAAGTATTTGTTAACCATTATATGTAGTATAGGCTGTGCATTAAAGATCCAGGCAAAATTACCCTCATTGCATACTGCATGGTCGCCCATCTTTATTAGTCTCATCAGGTGCAGAAAAGTTGGATGTAAAACTCCATTTGGTTTCATTTCATTTGAAAGAAAAAGGCATCCTATCGTTTTTGGCATCAAAAAATGATTCAATGGTTGTTCATATCATCTAGGTGTAAGTGTATACTAACCAGGCTGACAACATGTATATGTCTAGTTATATCTTTACTATCTATTACAGGAAGATACAACACTAAATAAGGCAGTGGATATTTTACGCAAGTGGAAACAAACAATGTGATAATAGATTTTTGTTTTGTTTTGAATCTTATACCAGCTAATAGTTAACTATATTCATGCACATTCAATCTAATTAAATCAGGTTACAATTTCATTTTTTTCCCTGTTTTTAGTCTCCATTCTAATTTGACAAATTTTCTATTGTGACACCTTTCTAATTTCTTTCTTGACGTCCTTGACGATAAATTTTGGGATAGCGAAAGCCAAAGTAGAGCAATATTTGTCATATTAACCAAAGAAGGGCCAACCTGAACACTTTGATTGGTTAAGAACAACATCATTGGAACGTAACTGTGGTAGAAAAAGTGTTAGAATAAATATATGGGAAAGAAAAAGAAATAAAATTGTGGTTGTATTTTAGTTAGATTGGTGCACTTCAGGAAATCAACACTTTTAACTCTCCAGTTTTATTTTTATAGAAGATTTACAAGTTAAAGTAAAATGTTATTTAATAGATACTCATATTAAAACATGAAGAATATTTATGCAGATCCAGGTCCAATTTAAATCATTAAGTGGACAGGACTTTATTTTTCTGTCTCTACACCAGCTGTTTCGGTCTAACATGCATATTTTTAGGTAGAGTTAGTTGTCTGGCTTGTATAGGTAGATATCATGATATAGCATTCAATTTTTGTCCAGATAAGATCATCTACACGATTCTAACAAGTAACTTAGTATTTTTTCATGATTTTAAAGACAGGGCTGTTTTAAGAGAAAAAACGGAAAAACAACGTTTGGTATAAAAAGCAGGCACAACCATACTAAAGAAATATTGTGATATATTATTTCTTAATATCATGATATCAACTTAAACTAATATCATCAAACCCTAGGTGGACTGCTCATGTTTATGATTGGAATCTGACTCTGATATGTATGAATATCTTTGCTCTACTAATTGCGAAGATTTTTCTATGTATAATCAAGAGCAGTCTGTATATTTCATTGTAAATGATAATTGAAACTATTTAACCATTAACCTTTCTTTTTGACCAATCATACTTTAGTCCCACAGGGATTTATTAGCTAAACCAATCAGTTTGACAGAAATTTGAGCCTTCAAATCCATGTGTGTCCAGAACTTTAAGATATCTGTGATATATGGAAAAGACGTATATAGAAATAGTGAGTAAAATTCCTAGTTTGAGATATTATTGAAGGAATTATGAGATTATCGTACATTTCTAGTACTTCTGAAAACTATTTACATATGTTCAAAGACTCTTGAACCCCCCCAAAATGGCACATAGTATATTTATTGTTGCTTTAGATACTTCAAAGGGGTGTAAACTATTGGTGTTTATGTTTTGGAATGTCTCCTGATATGCTTAAAATATCTCAGTAACTATGATGTCATCAAAACATGTATATATAACATATATAATATATATAGTAGACCAAACCATTAGGCAATTTTTTTATGCTTTTTTCTATCCTGATAATGATGCTATGTCCAAAACATGTCTGCAATAAGTGTGTTAGTTATACTGTGTACTTTTCAGTGTTTGAGAATCTCCTATGTTGATATTGGACAATGAATTCCAGCTAATTAATTCCTATGTAACTCTAGCTTCATGTAGAATATTCTCTATTAGATAAACCACAATTCTACTATTGTAGATACAGACCTGCAGTTTAATACAATTATTCCACACCAATAGGTCAATAATTCTTTTGGTAGATAGAGATTGTTTGGGGCCTATTAGCTTTAAGTTTTTGAGTGTTCAAGTTTGATAACTTTCATATCTGGAACACCTGATGCCACTTTGCGCCTCTGTTAGCAATTGTTGAAATATTTATCAGATGAATTTATTGTTTATAGTGTTTCAGGAAATTCTTGTGATTTGATTAAAATTGATTCCACATAGTACATTAGAAGACTCTATATTTCACATGAAGACATAAGCTCATTGATTCTATTGAATGTACATAGGGAAAAATGGCACATACAAAGGAGTCTCCAAATTTGCAGAAGTTCTTTGCAATCGTCTAAAAAAACAGCCCAAATACCCCTCCAAATAGAACAATCCTTTGAAAACATCCCTTGAAAGTAAAATGAACCATCCCCACTCTTCATCCCTTGAAAATAGAGTGGTCTTCTCCATCCTAACATCCCTTTTAAACAGAATGACCTGTCCCAACCTATCATCCCCTGAAATAGAATGACCTGCCTTAGCTATCACCCCTTGAAAACATAATAGATCACCCTGATTACATTAATCAGACTGAGTACAACTCACAATTCAAGGTCATGACCTAATTAAGTGAGTGATCTGTGAGTAGGTACTCAGAAGAGTGAGTAGATTTCGAAAACAACTCACCAATTTTCAGAATAAAATGACATATTTTGGAAATAAGTGAGCTGTAGTGAACACTACTCAGCATCACTCACTAACAGCTCACCAATTTTCAGAATAAAATGACATATTTTGGAAATAAGTGAGCTGTAGTGAACACTACTCAGCATCACTCACTAACAGCTCACCAATTTTCAGAATAAAATGACATATTT